CTTCCTATTTTAATGAAAACTCAATCTCTCTTTAACATGAAACCAGTATTTTCATATTTGCATCTCAACTCCTATCTTCTCTCATCTCTTTCCTATTTTCTCCATTTAACACCCAATTAACTCTCTCTCTCGCTCTCGCTCTCGCTCGCATGGTCGTTAAACGCACAGGCTGTGCACTGGGATTTTCCATAATTGTGAATTATAGAGATAGGTTGGTCTCTTTGATTTCAACATTGGCCACTGTGTTCTAACATCAAACATCAGGATTTATTTTAGTATATGGCATACCTGACAAATCTTGCTCATATTAATCTGGAGTTCAGTTAAGTTTTTATCGGAGAGCTTATAGTCCAATCATAGTCTGAGGCAGTATACCGAAAATCGACTCGGCCAACTTACTCCATTCTTGGCTGAGGCAAGTCACTTGGACAAGTCGAAGCAACTCGCCCGAGTCCAACCCAACTTAAAAAACTAAAAATAAAGAAGAAAAAAGAAGCATATATAAGATAACCTCCCGTTCTCTAACATCAAACATTACATGGCATGTTCGTTAGGTCTGCCGCACTGATGCAATGGCACCTTGCGCCAGGTCCTGTCATCGATCCTTATATGACTCTTTTTTTAACTGTACTCCTTCAAAACATAGTGAATGGGCTGGCGTGTTATCCAAAGGCCACCCCGATGTTTTTAAGTTCAAGTGGACATATTAATATATATAACTTTGAATACTTGGGTGTACAGAAACACTTTCAAAAAAGAAAATTACTTGGGTGTTCAGAAAAACTCGCCTCACCCATTGCGCGAGGTCAAGCAACTCAACTGAGTCCCGGTACACTGCGCTGAGATAATAATAAAATGGGATGCAAGTCACCACAAGGCAAGTTATGCAAATCATGTCCTCTCTAGAAGCGAACTGACTGGTTAATAAACTCCCTCAATCTTACAAGGCATCTATCTGGCAGTGAAATAAGTTGAGTTCATTGACCAAATATGGGATTTTAGAGATGCAAACAGAAGGCTAATGATCACTATGTTGCACCCTTTACTCTTTCTTTGAATCGAAGTCTTTGTCGTCAACATCTGGTGCTTCTATTATGCTTTCACATATTATCAAAGTTTTACTCACATCTCAATCATACCCCTTCAAAGAGCCTGTCATGTTTCATGAAGTATGAGGATTTGGGTTTGTTGATTGTTTAAGGTGATAATGGGATTCTGGCTTGGGCTTGATTTGTTGAGGAGTTGAGTGTAAGGTGTTGCGTGTTAAAACTGTATGTCCGAAGTTCTAGTTCTATTGCTGAACTACCATGAAAAATGTTTCATGGGGTATGGAAACCAAATCTTTGGTCTGAAATTGTTTCTCTTTTCCCTAAACTGATTTCCCTAAATAGAGAAAAATCCAAATGTGATACGTTTATTCCTTTTTTTCTTGGAAATATGATAGGTCCAATTATGATGGGACAAGCTTGTGGGAACCTGTGACAGGGAGATAATGAGAATCCTCAAGGACACTCATCGATTAGGTGCATGTTGTGCCACCAATGTGGCTAGACCTTCAGAAAATTTGGAGCTAGTACTAGTTTTTTTGGTGCTAAATTTGGAGCTAGTACTAGTTTTTTTGGTTTCCAAGATTTAAGAGCTCCCATAAAATTGATAAGTTAGTTCCAGTTTTTAAGATCAGTGAAGCATTGATAACCTGTAAACTCAAGACAGATCGGGTAATGGTTCTCATTGAGGGTAGAATGAAGCCCTTGGTCTTGTAGACTAGTTAGGGATGAATAGGATAAGTGCCCCTTTACAGTTATACAAATGGCAATAAGCATATATAATAAGTCGAAGGAAATAACAATGAAGAGAAGATATATATTATCACTATCAATGAAGAGAAGATATATGAGTACCAAAATGTTCGATATATGCATGATCGAAGTGCTACTCCCTGTTTTATGTTCTGGAATCTGGGGGAACCTGTGCTTTCTAATTAACCACAAACGCATTTCTCAAATTACCAATAGTCAAAGAATACTAAAGGACAAAAAAAAAACATGAGTCGCAACTCTCACACAAAATACTCGTGAATCATTTTGGAGTGCCGCGACATCCAAATCACAACATTGATCTCACTTTTTTTATTGCTCAACAGTGAGCTAGCTGTACAAAAGTTTTTCAAAAGAAAACTCAAATGAGACTTTGATTTCATGTCTAGGATCTCATGCTAATACTCTCCAAATCCAGTTCCCCTATTCTTTTCGTCTTCCTCTAGGTTCAGATAGACATTTATCCTCAAACCCTCTATCGTACAAAATCTATAAATGCACACCTTGACAGCTATGCTTTAAAGCACCATTTGTTCAAGTGGGTGCCAAAAGAGATTGATCGATGATTGATATTCTCATGTCCTGAAACAGCAATCGGTTGATTCAGAAGCAAGGAATGTTGAGAGGTTTAGATGTTCAGTGGAAACATGATCCACATGGGCTTGAAAAATGCACAAAAGAGCATAATCTCTTGTTATTTGGCTGCAGCTACTATCCTTCATATGGTATTGCTCCATTGTTAAATTGCATATAGCATGTGACCGATTTAAGTTCGGTTGGAACTTAACCCAAATACTTCCACTCACCAAAGGAAATGCTTCGATCCTGGTTAGATAGGCTGCACTTTTACGCAGTCTATTTTTCATAGGCTTGATAAACTTATAGAGTTCAGATCTGCATCTGGTTCAGTATTCAGCTTAAAAAATTGTGTGTGTTTAAGGACTGTCTCCACCTTGTTTTCATGGTACTTGTCTTACTATATATGCGGATTCTTCTTTTTTGCTTCCTCTAGTCTCTCATCTTTCAAATAGAATTGGTTTGTACAGTCAGTCTTTGGCGTGATTGGGTATTGTATAACATTGCAATACTACTACTCTAATTCAAATCCTATAACTGAACTACTCAGAAAAATAAAACAAAGCCATAATCAAAGGATGCTAAATAGTAAATTCATGCTATGTGGTGTGAGCTACTTCATCTTGTGAGTTTCCTTTAAAGCTAGAATGTGGCCTGAGAACTGAGCCCAGCAATGTTTGGTTTTTAAGTGAAATTCCAACCTGCAATTTGATTTCAAGCAGTGCTTAATTTTCAAATTGAATTGAATTGAATCTCGACTGCAGTGGTCTTCCAAATTGTGGTTTTTTTTTTTTTCCTGAAAATCACTCCGAGTTCTACTACAAAAAATGTTCAAAATCTCTCTCTCTCCTATCATTATCACCACTGCTACCACCAAGCCAATTATACACGACCTTCTCTCTCTCTCCTATCATTATCACCACTGCTACCACCAAGCCAATTGTACACCACCTTCACCACCTCCAACTCCATCATCACTGTGCTACCATCACCCCGTGCACTGCCACCACCACCACCACACTGCCTTCACTACTAGCACCATTACCACTACCATCACACTATCACCACCACCACCACCATTACTGTGATACCACTTGCTTCACTACCACAACCATCACGCTGTCACCACCATCACTATCATCTGACCACCACCATACTGTTGTGATGTCATGGTTTGAAAAATCATGGCAAATGCAAGGCTGAATCATATTTTAAGTCTATTTCTCAGTATATAAACAGGTGTTTAATTAGCAAGAATATAACATAAAACTAGATATTTTAATTAAGAAATGGAAACATAAATACAATTTATTGATAAAAGAAACATGCCGGCAACTCCTAGTTGTTGAGCCAGGAGTCTTGAAGGGAACAAATTAAAAGAGCCTTATAAAAAGAGCTGGAGAGTCCTGTTTTCAAATGTAAATTGGTTTGAAACCGGTTTTAGTGAAGAGTGCGTAAAGCTTGACAAATGACAATCATCAAGGTACAACAAACAGGCTCAAGGCATAGGTCCCGAGCTGACATTCAAAAAAAAAAGAAAAGATAACCATCTAGGTGTTGATCTTAGATATTCAAATGTATTAATTTAGATAAATTTAGCATGCTCACAGCCTACTGAGAAATATTTAAGAGAGAAAGCAGGTGGGAATAGGAAGAAAAAGAAAATATAAATAAACCCTCATGCTGCAGAGAGACAAAGTGAGATCAAGAAAATAAGATGGTAAAGCAAAGAAACTGAAAAGCAACATATAAACCAATCAGTACAAAGAAGGCATCCCTCACTCTCCCCGTATATCATCCTCTCTCCCTATTTCCCCAACTCCCCCTATCTCTATCCTTCTATTCCCCCTTCTCTCCTTGTGTTTGGTCTTTTCTCTACCTTTTTCTATTTCTGTCTTGCTTCTCTGTATATGTACTTCTTTCATTCTCTCAATGAAATCCTTAATGTTTCAGGAAAAAAAAGGCACTTGAGAGGTAAAAGCCCAAGTGCTTTACCCCCTTTGTCAGTGCTCCAAAAGTCTTCTTGTAAAATAGTTATACCTTATTTAACCCATCATGCGTATGGTTTGACTGGATAACAACAATGTTTTTTAAGTGCTTTTAGAAACTACAAAAAACTTAATGGGGAGAGAGTTGGGCCTGTTATGGTAAAATACTTGAGCCACCATCAACCCTTTCACTCACTTAGTGAAGTTTTGAACATGTCAGAAGGAAAAAGGTTTTAGAAAAAGAAGCAAAAACTGAAAAAGAGAAGAAACAAGCCTGAAGAAGCAGCCTACCACAAATGGTTGCCAGGGCTCTAGGCTGGTGTACTGTAAACACAAAGTTCAAACCACCTTACTACCCAAAATAATGTACTCCCTAAAAGGAGGAGTCAGTTTTGGGAATTAAAATCTACTATGCATAGTATTCCACTCTTTTTCTAACAGTTCACCCAAAAAGATACCCTATTTTAAATACAGCTACTGATCTTCTACTTTTCCTCTTTTATTTTTCTGCTTTTTTCCACCATCATTTTCTTTTCTCTAATAGGAACCACCAAGATCATTATAACCAAAATGGGGCCACAATGCCTCCATGATCCCCACATTCATTTCACCACAGAGCTTCCACTAACAATTTAAAATGCAGGTTCTTAAAATCTTTCGCCATTACAGTAAGTCCACCACCACTACAAATAATGTGATCAGAGAGAGAGAGAGAGAGAGAGAGCGCAGAGAGAGAGAGAGAGCGCAATGAAGGACACAAAAAATAGAGATGCAGTACATAAAAATTTACACTAGAAAACTCGAAATGAATTAGAGAAGGACAGACAGAGAGGGAGAGAAAGGCATTATCACCAAGCAGAGTTGATATACATTCTCAGAAGACTTCCATTCTCTCAGGAACTGGGGTCTTGATCACCTGCAATATTTGAACCACCTCTGCCATCGAAGGCCTACTCGAAGGCACCTGAGATGTGCAAACAAGTCCAAGCCTCAACAATGGCACCACCTCCTCCTCGGCATATTCCTCCATTTTCATATCAACACATTCTAATCCCCTTCCTCTTTCTACCATAGACCTCACATCCTCACAAAGCATAACCATATCGTCCTCTCTGTACTCGACAGCCCTCCTTCCACTCACTATCTCAAGCAATAACACACCAAAACTATACACATCACACTTTTCGTTGACGCACAAGCTCCCACAAGTGAGCTCAGGAGCCATATAACCTGGGCTCATGCTAAGCCCACGTTTGCCTAGACTCGAGAAAAGCCTCACAAGCCCATAGTCAGATAGTTTTGGGATGCAATTTGCATCAAGCAAAACATTGCTAGGCTTGAGACCATAATGGACAATTGTTGGGCGACAGGCATGGTGGAGATGAGCCAAGCTTTTTGCTACTCCTAGGGCTATCTTGAACCGAATAGCCCATGAAAGAGATGGGCTTTTGCCGGAAAAAAGCCTCTCATGGAGGCTTCCTCCAGGAACAAATTCAGAAATTAGCAGCTGCAACTGTGGGGCCCAGTAGTAACCCTTGAGGCCGACCAAATTGGGGTGCCGAGCTCTCGCAAGGTTTCGAACCTCATTATCGAAATCCTCCTCTGATAATGATAGATTTGAAGAGGGAAGTCTTTTAATGGCAACAACTCTTCCCTCTCCTACTGTTGCTTTATAGAGTGTTCCAAAAGCTCCTCGACCCACTTCTGAGGCCTTGTTCAAGAGTGACTGAGCATTGTTAACCCAGTCTTCAGACCCTGCCTCAAACATAACGAGCCTACCCATGGCTTGATTAGAGCACTTGGAACCACCAGACGACAGAGAATCAATGGGTATGTTGTTTGGGGCCCTCCTTTGAGCCGAAACATTCAGAAGGGTCACGACCAAAACTCCGAGAATTATGAGAGAAGCAGCAGATATCGCTATGATGGCTGAGACACTGAGAAATTCTTTACGCTTTGATTTACCAGAATTCCTCAGATCTGGAACTATGGTGCCTGCTACTCCATCATAAGCATTGGGGTCGAGAACTAATGGTTTTGGGGTATTCATTTTGCAGGGTTGGTCATTCAAGATTGGAGAGCAAATGCCAAGATTTCCCTCTAGTGAACTCTGGTCTAGGCTCTGGAATATGCCTCCACTTGGGAGCCTGCCGGTTAGTTGGTTATAAGAAAGGTTCACAGCTACGAGGCTCTCTAGGCCTCCAAGTTCTTGTGGTATCTCTCCACTTAGTTTGTTAAGGGCCATGTTGAGGACCTCAAGCTTCTGCAACTTCAACAGTGATGATGGAATTGAACCATTTAAGCTATTGTTTGATAAGCTCCTGAATGGCAAAACAAACCATGAAATCAAATATGAACTAAATTGAAGCAGGTATTTTATCTCAAATACATTTACCAGTCAAAAGGCGTGAAGGTGAAACTTACAGAACGTAAAGGTTCGAACAACTTCCAATCTCTTGTGGTATTGGGCCACTCAGGGAATTACCATCCAATGCTAGGACCGAGAGGCTTTTGGAGCTGCATAAATTTTCAGCAATCGAACCATGAAGGCCACTATAGCGAAGATCCAATTCTGATAACATATGCAAATCTCCAAGCTCTGGTGGTATTCTTGAATCCAAACTATTCCAAGACAAGTTGAAATAAGTCAAGTTAGAACAGAATATTATTTCAGGTGGAATGCTTCCTCTAAGGTCGTTTTTAGAGAGATCAAGCACTTGAAGGGACTCAAACGGAAGAAGGGCCATAGTCCCATTGAACAAATTATCTCTAAAACGTATCTCTGAAAGCCTGTCACACTTGGCTAGAGACTCAGGAATCGAACCAGATAAGCTGTTATGAGACAAACTGAGATAGCTCAATAATTTAAGGTTGCCCAATGAATCAGGAAGAATGCCCTTGAAGCCATTGCTCGAAAAATCCAAGTATTGAAGGCTCTTCATGTTACCAATCCATGGAGGAAGCTCCCCCATCAAGTTATTCCCAGCTAAGCTGAGGTAAGAGAGAGAAGTGAGGCTTTGGAAAGAGGACGGAAGAGCCCCACTAAAAATGTTATTGCTGAAATCCAAGTGCATCAAATGGATGCAAAAACCAATGTCTAAGGGTAAGCTACCAGAGAATAAATTTCCCTGTAAATGTAGCTCTTTGAGGTTGTGAAGGCCTGCAACACCTTCTGGAACAGGGCCTGAGAAGCCATTGTTAGAGAGATCCAAAACTCTAAGCCTCTTCAATAACCAGATTCCATTAACAAAGTCAGGGTCACCTTGGAGATGATTTGAAGAGAGATTTAACCCACCCAAGAACATGCATTTTGACAATGTGTAAGGGAGGCTCCCCTCAAAAGAGTTACCCCCCAAATTAACAAAACGGAGAGAGAAACAGTTATTGAAGACATAATCGGGGATTGTTCCAGAGAGAGAATTCTCGGAGAAGTCCAAAACTTGAATTGAACTCATGTTGCCAAGGCTTGGTGGAATGGAACCAGATAGACTGTTTCGACTGAGATTCAGTCTCCTCAAGCTTTCGATGCGAGCCAGCTCCGGGTTTATGGTCCCTGAAAAGTTGTTGTTAGAGAGAGAAAGAGCCTGCAAATTCTGCAACTTTTCGAGACCCCTACCGATCTTTCCTGATAAACTTAATCCATCAAGAGAAACCTCGGTGACTCGACCACTGTTCCGGTCGCATTGTACGAAGTTCCAGTGACATGGGGAGTCATCATCTTCACTCCATGAAGAGAGAGAAGAGGTTGGGTCTTGAATGCCGGCTTTGAAGACTATGAGACCCAAAACATCATCGTTGAGTTGCAGAGAGATGCTTGCAGCTCTGCAACTGAAGAAGAACCCTCCTAAAACCCATGACAACATGAAGAAGAAGAAGAAAGAACCCATTTCCTGGATGTTCTTCATTCTTCTTCTGCTTTTTGTGATTCTTCCTACTTGTTTCTCTTACTTCTACTGTGGAAGTTGAAGTCCTGCAACGGGTGAGTGGACTTCCTGTTCCACTTCTACTCCCCACTTGACACTCGGGCCCTACTCTATCTCTCTCTCCAATTTCGGTTTCTTCCATAAATTTCGGCAATTCACGGCTGCTTTTTTTTGTTCCCGAAAATATTGCCCGTCGGAGAATGTTTTCTCGAAATACCACCCAAATGGCAAGTTTGACCTCGCCATTGAAAAAGTAAAAAACAAAAGGAAACCATGGACCGATGGTCTACGGTACACTATAGGGATATTTATAAAGGGTAATAGTTTGAAGGGTTATGTCCCGAGCTCATGCCATTTAGTAATTTAATATTGTATTTAACAAATTTTAAATATTTATATATCTTTGTTTTTTATATTAAATTTTTTTAATAAAAGTATTTTTAGTCATTAAAAAAAGTGTGATATCATCTATATGTGATGTTACATCACTTGTATAGAGCACACTAGTAGTATTTATTGCTTCATGTGGGCAATGTCCCACTCATATGGATAATATCATATCTTCTTAATGACCAAAACTACCCTTACTAAAAAAACTCAATGTATAAACAAGATTATATAAGTGTTCAAAATTTATTGAGTACAATGTTAAATTATTTTATAGTGCGAGCACCCTAACATAAACCTAATTTGATAGGCCCAATTAAAATAAGTAAAGCCTCTTCTCATAACTAACTAAAAATTGATTGTATACAATAAGGCCATTTACCTTTGATACAAAGAGGTCACAATTATTTATAACCATCCGATGTGAAATTTGATAGCTTGGGTGTGTCACAAAGTTCGCGAAAAATTATTCTGAACTTTGAGCTTGGTCCATAAAATAAATATGGCCACTCAATATAACATTAAATAGTCAATATTAATTTTGACCACCTTGTACCAAAGATAAATGGTCCCATTGTATACTTTTCCAATTAGGTGTGAAAATTGTGACCACTTTGTACCTTGAAAATTGCAATACAAGCATTAGAAAACTTTTACATTGACCATCTTGGCTTAAACATTATGGTTGTAAAAAAAAAAGATTTCAAGCTCTAAAAATAATGTATATTGTAACAAATTGTCTAGACCGTCCATTTCACCTTTAAAATAAATATTCATAGACTTGCAGGATCTATACCATTTTTTGAGTTTCGAATTTCAATATCGGTGTTGAAAATTAATTTCAGAGCCATCATGGATATTTCCATTGCTGAAAGTGCTTTCCAGACGAAAATTTGCGGTGACACTTTATTTTATTTTCATAAAGCCCACGCCTTATAGAAAACCCATCCTATGATAAATGGGCAATACAAGAGTTTGGAAACACCGAACAAGACTTCAAATTAGGAATCGAGCTTGGGCCTTAGCGATTGAGATTTAAGAGGGTTATATCTCTAAGTTTGATTTATACAGTTGAACTACCGAAACATGAATAAAAAACAAAGGAACTAAATTACTAGGGGACATATTGCAATTCACCTAATTCTGCTTGGGTAATTTTTTAGTAGGATCGATACATGATATAATAGCTGAAAAGATAAAAATCTTAGGATCCTTGAAACAATAGGTTCCTATAATTGGATTGCCTCCCCACCGATTCAAGTTGACTCGATGATTGGGAATTGGCGGGGCAAAATTTTTAGAGAAATGATCCTATAGGACCCTCCCCCACCCATGTGTATAGGACCCCAAAGGATCACCATTAAATTGACATGGATCTATAGAAAAGTCAAATCCCACACCCATGTGATAACTTTTTTAGAGATCCATGCCAACTTTAATGGTGAACATTTGAGGTCCTACACACATAGGTGGAAGAGGGTCCTATAGAATCATTACTCAAATTTTTAACACCAATAATTCTCGTGATTGTTGGATATGGTTCTAAAAGAAATAGAAATCCAATAATATTAGGACTCTTGAGTATGTCTCATCTAACACCTATAGGAAGTTTCGTACTTAATGTGGACACCTAACTTTATATATATATGGGATGAAAGGGCAGAGAATTTGTATACCTTATTTACGTCACCATATAGGAAAGATGACTTCTTGTAAAGAGAGAGGCAAGGGCTTCTTATGCTTCAAAGGCAAGGCCTCCCCCTAAAGAGAACAAAGCTTCCTATAGAGAGCAACACCACCAATGTACCTCATGTTCATTGAGAGGCTAATTTATTGTAGAGAAGCGGTTCTCATGAAGATTTTTAGTGGTTTTCCTTTTTAACGAGAAAAAATCTCGGTTGCTCTCATGGATCTCTTCCTAGATAGTGGTTTAGCTGTGAAATAGAAATGGATATCTTCTTGAAAAATGTATTAGCTATGGAAGATGGGCTTCTTCCTGGACACTGGCTTAGCTGTGGAACAGAGATGAGAGATCATCAAGTCATGCTGATCAGGAGAGCGGGTCTAAAAGGGTAACTCTATGTCTCAAAATCTGTGGTGGAACTTTCATTACTATAATGGATTTCAGTTTGTTGATGTAGCCCTCTTGGGGTGAACTATGTAATCTTTGTGTTCTTGTGGCCTATGTATTTCATGCTTTATTTCTCGCATTATTACTCGTATTCTGTCATATTTTGTTTCTAGCTGGAAAAGTACACGATCTTGGTAGGATCCAATTTTTGAAATTCTTGTTTCCACATCTAAGAGGGTTATTAAATGATAATAATCAATTTCCATGGTTAATTCACACTGACCATCATCAAGAGTCCTTGGTGGAGATCCTCGATGTGCCATTTAGCCAATTATATAGTTACAATATTTTATCCTTCCTTTTTTTTTCTTTTTCATTTTTTCCGAAATGTGCACAATGAGACGATTTACTTTTGATACAATGAGACTTGAAATTGGGTGGTTGAAGACATTATTGTTTCGGCATGAAGTCCAAAATAAAATTTCTCAATAGTAACATTTTTTTATAATGGATTTCACATCCAATGGTTAAAAATAATTATGAACTTCCTATACAAAAAATCGATAGTCTCGTAGTTTAAAATCCTTTTTGTCAATTTTTTTACTTCCAAACTTTTAAGCCAAAAAGGTATATTTTATTATAATAAATACTTTTATGGATTCTCATGTTGGTAAAAAAGGGGACGAAGAACTCGCAACAAATCTCATATTTTGAAGGACAATATTGTTGGATTGCGTATCGCATAGGGTCGATGGTTTATCCAGAACTATTGAGAATAACTTCCTTTGTTGTGCATTCTCGTGGCCCTGAAACCCTGTTATAAAGAGAGGGGGGGGAAAGGCCATTCTACAATATTTGATTTTTCTTCTTAGAATCTTCGTGAAATGGCACTCAAATGTTAAGAGATTCAAGAGTTA